TCATGTAAGAAAGTAATCTTTACCAGCAATACCTGCATAGAGAATACTCTTCTTGGCACTTCTTTCAGTTTCTTGGCAAGATTTCAAGCAAATTCTTCCAGGACCCTTCAACACATCTGTTCCTGTTGCCTTAAAGCAGGTGAAGTAAGCTCTCCTTTTTAACAGAGAACTCATGTTTTCTTGCAGGCATTGGCCAGATGTGATGAACACAAGTATACCTCACACAAGGTCTGCCAGCTGAACTATGGCCTCCACCCATAAAAGCTGATGAAAAATCAAGTTTCTGATGAATTTCAGATGATAACTTTTTCCATAAAAGCACAAGTTTGGAAGGAAGACAAGCACTTCAAAACCAGCTAGTCTTCACAAGGCACATTTACAATCCTCACTAAAAGAAGCACTTGGTTCTGGTATTTGTAAGGGCTGTCATCGTGCCTTATCAGATTGTCCAGTCAGTTCTGATGATCGGGAGAGCAAAACTATTTGTGCTTAATAGCAAACCTCAGCTGTGATGAAGCAATGTGTTCATTCCCTCATGATATTCCGGGTGGGTTTTCCCCATCACTAATATTCTGTTTGGCACTCTGCCACATTTTTTTTTTCCTATACCAGTGATCTGCTAAGATACTGCAAGCAAAAGAGATACCTGTATCATTCCATGCAGGACTAGTGCTCACTGAGCAACCAGTAAGATGGTAACTGGGCAGCAACCTCCTCAAAACCACTCTTGGATCCTCCAACATTCAAAGCAAATGACAAAAAGGGACCTATCTTCAGACCACATATACTTGCAGGAGACAGGAAGCACAGTTTCACTCCAGAGAAAGCAATGCTTTGTTTGAGTGGGTTTTCAAAGCCTTTATTAGCCACAAACTCTTTCTCTGCATAGAGGCCCCATCACAAACTAAGTTTTGCCTGACCAGATGTGAAGAGCCACAGCTCTGCTCTTGGCTTGCTGTCTTTCAGTGAAAAATTAATCTTTTATGCTTGGGATTTTTTCTGCACCTGGGAAACATACAGCTTTGCATTAGGGAAGTATAGCAATGTGGTTCATTGCAGTACTTCAGGGAGCTGCTCAAGTCAATCTGTTGTTTGTATTGTTAATTTTTGCACTTACCTCTTTAGTTCAGTGATAATGCAAAGGCACTAGTTGCTCTCACTCCGGATTTAGGAAGGTGAGATTGGCAGAGGGTCCCAGCCTAAATGCCTCTGAGCAGAGTAATGCTCAGTGAGTACAGAAGTCAAATATTTATTTCTGCAATCTGAGGCACTGAAGAGAGATAGGAGTGATACCAGAACAAGTACCTAAGTGCAGACTTACCATCTGAAACCTGTACATGCCTTATTTTGATAAATAATATATTTATGCTCAGTTAGTACAGAGGTCAAATATTTATTTCTGCAGTCTGAGGCACTGAAGAGAGATGATAGGAGTGATACCAGAAGAAGTACCTAAGTGCAGACTTACCATCTGAAACCTGTACATGCCTTATTTTGATAAATAATATATTTTGGGGCAAGTCTGGGCCATTCTCAAGAAAAACTGAGTGCAGAGTGGTCACTGGCATCTGTGTATACCAATCAGTCTTTCTTGCTGTCCTTCTGACAATGAAGGAACAGAATAAACCTAAGAGGGGAAAAAACCCACCGTGTTTCTACAAGTAAACAATTAACACAGTCTGAATACCTTGGAACAGTATTGTCAAGTGACTATCCTGGATGGGCCTTTCTCCAGCTTCTGCAGCAGCAGGAACAGGGTATAAAAAACAAACCAAAACAAACAACATGATGAAGAAGGTGAGAACACCCTGACACAATAAGGACCCTCCAACAGTTCCTGTTCAATTTTCATCTGACTGGTTGCCACGGGCACAGTAACATTTTTATAGCTAATCTGTTCTTTTCTCTCAATAATCACATCAAAATGTTGCTTATACTTTGCTCAGTAACAGCTCTGGCCAGTGAACATGTAGAAACAGCAAGGACAGTACAGGAATTCAGCAGTATTGAGGAAAATTCTAATCCTACTATATTTGGCATCACAAATCTCTTATGTAACGTGATTTAGAGGACAGTTGGATCATCTGGGAACATTAATATGTTCTTCTCAGTACATTAAACAACAATGGCAACTTTCCATGACAGATTTTCTTCTTTCACAACGTCTCAGGAAACACCTCATGCTAACAAAACATTTTTAATATCAACAAAAAATGCTTTTGTAAGACAATGTAATTATACTGAAGGTGTACGTAAGTTTAAAAGCTAACTTGAAGTGCTTCTTTGCCAAGATTGCCTTGAACTGCAGTGCAGCTCAAGGATGCAGGAGAGGGCCTGTGATCTAAATTTAAAGCAATGGGTTTCCAAAACAACCTTGCAAAATTGGCTTTTCTGAAAGTTGACTGTTACAGCAGCAAATCTTCCAGATCTTGAGAACTGAATGTCTCACAACGCTAAGAAGGTTTGAGAGCTACAGATGGAAGAACCCAAACATGTAGAAACCCCTGGAACAACAGAACACTGTTTGTATCCACTATTAAAAACAAAACCAAAAAACCTGTCCTCCAACAAAAATACATTCTAACATGTGAAAGCAGCTGCCCAGTAATAGGATACAGGTGCATAAAAGCTCTAGCCACAAAATAATTTTGAACAAAGGACCATATTATTTAAATCTCTGTTGTTTTTAAGTCAGTTACAAAATGAGGTAAGAGTTCATTCAGTGCCAATATTTAGAGTGAAATAAACATTTGATTCATACCATGTATGCAAGAATTACAGTCATGCTTCTGAAACAGACATACTGGCAAGTTTTAAGAAGACAAGAAAAGAAGTTTTATTCACAGAATAACATAAAAATCAATCAGTCCTCTAGAACACACTCAAAAAGGGTGAAGAATTCAGAAAATATCAGAAAATCTGTCCCCTGAAATTGCCACACACTTTGCTGACAAGCACTTAGTGCAAAACCAGAAGCCAAATATAGACATTTTCTTTCATCCATAAAAAGAATGTGCCATAGATGTACACTAATATTAGAATTTTTTTTATGTGTTTGGAAATGAGTGGCCAGCACCAGATGTAAAGAACTTTGCAGGCTGACAGCTCTCACCAGCTAGCCACCTCATGGTGCTCCCATTCAGCTGTTAAGGGATGTGAAGCTTTTAAAACGAAAAGCAGCAGCATTCCTCTTCTTCTGGAAGACCCAACTTAAGCTTCCTAGTAAACACAGAATGCTGAAAAGAATTACCACTTTAACAACTGAAAGATACCAACTCCTCTTCTTCTGGAAGACCCAACTTATTCCACTATCCCAACGAAAGCTTCCTAGTAAATACAGAATGCTGAAAAGAATTACCACTTTAACAACTGAAAGATACCAACACATTCCGGAACAAGAACCTTTGGGTGACAAATACTCAATAAAACATAATTAAGGCTGATGGGAAACACGAGGCAACTCCCTTCAGAGAGCTACTTCCAGCTCAAATACAGCAGAGCAGGAGCTAAGAGCAAAGAGAGTAACTACCTCCCTAATAGTCTTTATTTTCTTCCACTAACACCTAGAAAGAACAGCGATTTTTCAATCTCCATGAGTCATGCAGTTGTCTCAGTAATAGATACCAGAACAAAAGGAAACTTAGAGTAGCTATTCATAGGGAAATTCCCATTGATAGTTTTTCTGTTACAGTTGAAAGAAAGTCCCAAAAGCCTAAGAGATTGCCAAGAGGAGATACCTGGGAGCAGTAAACACTTCAAACACTATAAATGAGGAATACCATTATTTCCCTGCAAATGCATCCACAGTGAACACTTATTACTCTCCATAACAGAAATTGCTTTCTTATGCTTTATCAGAACCTTACCAAAGGACAAAAGAAATGCAAAGCCACACTCAGACTTCTCAGTTCAGACAGGCTTACTTCGAGTCTTACATCAGACCAAAGCTGGAGAAGGCAGACTGTTTTGATTTTTCAAATTTGACAGGTATATGAGCAATTAGAAGATAGAATTCAAGAGCCAGTTTCAAACCAAGCACTGAAAGGCCAGACTAACTTAGGAAATGATGAGACTGAGACCTGGCATTAGAAATTGATGCTCATTATTTTACTGCCTTGGGCCACCATATGTAAAGCCTCCTTAGAGGCTAGTAGGGGAAATAAGTGAAAACTGGCAGAGTAACACACTAGATTCCAGTAGTTCCAAAATTTGTGATTTAATGAACCCTACTGTAGGGAGAAAAAAAAAACCAACAGGACAACCACATTAAAATCGATACTTCAAGGAGAGAACACAATGCAGGGATAGTAATTATAAATACCCATAAGCATAGAACTATATCAATAAACTACTTTAATGAGGTGATACATGCTCATCTTTTATACCTCTATAAATTACTATTAGACAAGCAGAAGACTCAAGATAGGGCAAAACAATAAACATTAATCTCAAAGATTTGTTATGAAGGTAACAGTTTACAGTTTCAACCTAAAAAAAAAAATCAACAGGACAACCACATTAAAATTGATACTTCAAGGAGAGAACACAATAGTTTGCAGGGATAGTAATTATAAATACCCATAAGCATAGAACTATATCAATAAACTACTTTAATGAGGTGATACATGCTCATCTTTTATATCTCTATAAATTACTATTAGACAAGCAGAAGACTCAAGATAGGGCAAAACAATAAATGTTAATCTCAAAGATTTGTTATGAAGGTAACAGTTTACAGTTTCAACCTACCCACTATGATCTTCTCACTCACTTTTAACTGTTGCTGTAAACCATTACCATGAAATATCAGTAAACATCAGTGCTAAACCAACAAATAAGAGTATTATGCACATTTCTAGGCAAATAATCAAGCTGTCTTTACCCTTCATATCTCATTCCAAGTAAATGTATCATCTTCCAGGAAGTAATATTCACAAATTATTTGAGAGGTGAGTTACTGTACAAAGACACAGGAGTTCATAAAGGATTAGCCAATACTATTAGACAGAAGTTTGCTTGTAGTTCTTCGTATCCAAGACCTTCTTGCCACACATTGAGCAGATGCCTATAAGCACACAAAAAATGTGCAGAATTATTATAGAATCATTAAAGTTGTTCTTCAAAAACATAGTTGCTATGTTTTTGTAAAGTTCACTTTTGAAAATTCTTTAAATGAGCTCACATGGACAATCTGTCTGTACATTTCCACCAGATATTGCAAATTCAAGATAATATCAGTCTTACTATAAGTTATTATTTGCAGCATGCATAATACTGCCACTTAAAAGAAAAATATGCTCTATTTTGAGAGCATTATGATTCACAACACTGCCTGAAGGCTCTATAATTCACTGGAGTACTGGAAGAGAGACAGGAGAGGCTCCCATCTGGCAAACAGGTTAAGATGGTATATTGTTAAGCTTTCTAAGTCCTGCAGCCAAACCAAGGATGGACAGAAAGTGGCTAGACTAAGAAAATATAAACACCAACAAACTGACTGCTAAAGGGAAGATTAACAGGCAGGGAGCTTCAGCCAACTGAGAAAAATACAGTTTCATAGAATTATGTTATTTATAGAGTAGTAGAAGTGAGAAACAACAGATATCAGGAATACTTGAGAGTTGGAAGATGATCACTGATGTGCCAGAGGAGTTTGACCTAAACCCAAAGAATGGCAAGTCAGAAAATCAGAGTAGTGAAAAGCACACAAGTTCAGACGGG